GGCTTCTCTTCCGTGAGGCTAATAGAGTCTCTGATAAGGCTAATCAGCCTATCAATAGACTTAGAGTCTAACGACCCGGAGGTATATTCAACTTCCTCCTCACAGTCATCTGGGACCTCCCACACATCAGGTTCTTTCTCAGAGCATGAAGACTGAGGTTCTGCTCTGCGTCTTTTATATGGACCACTTTTATCCATGGTAGACTTAAAGCCCTCAGCAATAGCTTGGGAAATCCAGAATTTAAGGTCGTGCTGTTGGGATCTTCTGTTGGAAGCATCCGCTATTTCCAATAAGCACTCTCTGCAAAGGTTCTTTCCCTGAGGTGCAGAAGGCGAACAATTCAAGCATCTGTTGGTTTTATCCCTTGCTCTTTCTTGGAGGGGAATCCAATGTTTTGCTGGGGCTGACATAAAAGCCATACATGAACATATATTACAGGCTTATTCTGGCACTCTTTTTAACACCACCAATAAGAAAAAGTAATTGGCTCACCTATGTTTTCTAGAGAGGGATCTTGCCGAGGCAGAGGGAGAATCCATACTATAATGTAAGATCAATAGAGTATGTAAAAGACTAAAAACCATAATCTATCAAATGCATAAGCAAACACTGAAAGGCAAAGAAAAACCTGCAAGAATAATAAAAGCATATATTCAGGCAAGGAAAACAAATCCAAGCAGCCAGAAGAACAGGAGATCACCAGCTTCAATGCTCTCAAGATAAGGTAATTGAAGTATTGTACCAAGGACACCATCAGATGCTCTAGCAGGCACACAACCAACCCCAGCCTGAATTTAAAAAGAGCCGGGGAAATGCCGGTTCCGCGCATGCGCCAACCAGTGGAATGCACGCCATGCGTTTCAAGCCGCGCTCGACCCCCCGCGTCATTTCCGGTCATGCAGGGGTAGCCACAAATGGCACTTCTGCGCGTTCCATTGCTTGAAATGAGGATCCTGTGGCTGAAAAGAACAAACCAACCCCCTCTCAGGGGAAGACATTACAAAGCTCAGGTAACCTAACAGAGGAAACAGAGTCCCCAGACGGCTCCCTCCAAGGGAGGACCCCCTATACAACTATGGATCCCAAAGAGCTGCCTTATAAGGGGGCTTTTTGGCCCCAATTTATAGGGGTAATGCACAAGGGGAATTTTTAAGGAGGTCCAACCCCACCATTTACCTTGCAGACGTGTCTCCCTCAGAACACCATACATATCCCATGTAGCAGTTCAGTACAGTGGCGGATCCAGAGCCTGATCTCGGGAGGGGCACTTGTAGATTATTTAAAGAAATAATCCGGACACAATAACCACTACAGCTCAGTGTAGTGGTTATGGTGTCAATAGTGCCAGGACCCCCTCCTAGAGTAAGTAGTCAAACTGTTTAAGAACAGTTTGACAACTTACCTGAGGTCTGCTGGGAAATTAGGCTGTAGTAGGCCATAGGAGCAGTGGTGTGTGTGAGTGGTGCAATGTGTAAGGGGTGCAGTGTGTGTGTGAAGGTTGTAGTGTGTGAGTAGGGGGGGCAGTGTATGTCAGGGGTGCAGTGTATGTGTGGGACAGTATGTGTGTGACAGTATGTGTGTGTAACAGTTGCAGTGTGTGTGTGTGTGTGAGTGTGGGCAATGCGTGTGTATGGGGCGGCAGTGTATGGGGCAGTGTGTGTATGGGGGGCAGTATGTGTGTATGAGGGGGCAGTATGTGCATGGGGCAGTATGTGTGTATGGGGGGCAGCATGGGGCAGTATGTGTGTATGGGGGGCAGCATGGGGCAGTATGTGTGTATGGGGGGCAGCATGGGGGCAATGTATATGTGTGTGTGTTAAGGGGAGGGGGGCTTTTTTTATATAATATATATTTTTAAATATTTAATTTTAAAAAAAAATATATCCTATGTCCCCCCTCCCTTCTTACCTTTACTGGGGAGGAGGGGGGACATATTTCGTTCCCAGGTGGTCCCAGTGGTGATTCCCTGGTGGTCCAGTGTGGAGAGTGAGCTCTAGCCCGCGCTCCCGGGCTAGAGTTCACTCTCGCGAGATTTGGAGCGTTGGCAACGCTCCAAATCTCGCGAGAGGAGGACCCGGAGGAGCTGCAGACTGAGCTCCCGGGTCCTCCCTCTCCCTCCCCTGCCGGCTGTCAGCACAGTGCCTGCGGACCGGGGAGGGAGAGCTCTGATCTCCCCTCCGGTCCGCAGGCACATTGCAGGGCTAGCACCTGCATGTGCTGACAGGGGAGGGAGAGGGAGACCGGCGGATTTCTCGGGGGGGGGCAATTGCCCCGTTGCCCCCCCCCTGGATCCGCCAGTGGTTCAGTACTTACACTAAACCTAGCCCAGTTATTCCTGCTCGTGCAGGCTGTTTACTGGGTTCATCAAATGAAGAGAGGCTGAACTTTGGAAAGAACCCACGACAAACGCAGGAAGGTGGCCAAACAAAGAAAGTATTTTAAGTCCTGTAGAGCCAGCTAAGGACAGGAAAAAAGACTGTGGTGTAAGGGGAGGAGGGACTCTTTATACCTTTCAGTCTAATTAATTAATTGAATAAATTCCTATCATGTGACTGCTAAGGGAGGTGCTACCCATAAGTGATGCTGCCATGAAATGGCATTTGTTTAATGTGTGGTTTTTTCTGACTCTGTGAATTAAGATCTTTCCTAGAATTTCAGGATCAGGAGCTCCAAGTTTTCCATTTTCATTAATATGCCAAGTACTGACTTCCTCTCTGAGAACTTGCTGGGGGAAAAACATTTTGTGACTTCAAGTTTTCTGGACAAAATAGTATGAAATAGATATTTCAAGTTGTTCTCATAGAGGCTTCCCTGAAATGTTGCCATGTACATCAAGACATCAGCGCCGTCTTGGAGAACGAATTGTAACAGTTATTTGAACTATTTTTATTTTTTTTTAAATTATGTTTTAATAGAATCCTACCCATAAAAATATGAGTTTAGAATTTACACAACCTGTCCTGACATTCACTGGGGACGCATAGATCATGCAACTGCGTAACATACAGCAGATAATCTGAATGATAATATTAGATGAGCCTTTGTGCTATTTACTTTTTTTGTTATTATATTGTCCTATAAGTACATTCTAAAAGTCAAATGTTCCTAAATGTCTAAATGTTATAATTTGGTTACCAACTTTCTAAATTTCACTGTTTAGTGAATAAATGTATGTGTGCCTGCAGGCCAAGACAGATCTCTTTTATTCTTTTATTGAATACTTCGCACATATGTTGGTAACTGTCGAAAAATTCAGTTGTTTTCTAAAAAGTCTCTTTAAAAAAAAAAACACCCCATAACATTACATTTTGCTGATTGCTGTTTCTTTATGTTTTCTTTGAATACAATGTAGATTTAGTATTGGCACATTAAGGTTGTCCAATACATAAAAAATAAAATATAAAAAAGCCCTGTGACAAACTGATGATGATATGGTGAAGTGTTCTATATATCCTTAATCTCCTTAACCACCAGTCCTTGTATCTTTCAAAGTGATTTCTAGGTTTGTGAATTACAGAGAAAACGGTTGTATACTGTGCTTCATTCTACCTCCTGCAGTTCTACGATTAATACTTACGCACACAGTGTAGGACAAGAACCATGGAAACTCCCTTATAGTGTTAAGCCATCAGACTGGACTGGAAATGGACTATTCACTGAACTGAGCAGTCAGCAGAGAACCACAGGAAATTGAAAAAAAACAAACAGATTTTGAACGTGGTTTATTTATCCTTACAGAGACACTGTAGGCACTGCTTCATCTGTCTCTCAGCACCATCCTTCCAATCCATTTAATGTTGCTTGGGCTAATGATGAAGCATTGGCATGAACAGCAATGGGCAGCTGTGATTGGCTGAAAGTGTCAGCGGAAAGCATTCACCCTATCACAGTGCCCATTGCCTGTATGAATTGGTGTGACTAGAAGGCATTGTGTTATCTCTGCTCAATGCCGCCTTTAATATTGATTAGACTCTGGGCAAGCAATTTGCATAGGTCCCCTGGGCCTTCTAGTCACCGCCTCCCACTCTCTGGCATGCAATCACACCCTTCAAGCTCCCCCACCCCCCCTGGAAAGAAAGCCACATTCAGATAAATATAATGACACTCATACAGATACAAACACTGACGCAAACAGATACACAGCAGCACACAATCACACAGGTGCAAATACACAGACACACATGCAGATACACAGACACGTATTCACATACAGACACACATACACATATAGAGACACAGATAAACCTTATAGACACACAGACACACATATTTACATACAGACACAAAGATACACATAAAGACATGCACAAACAGAGATACAATTACAGATACACACACATGCAGATACACAGACACACAAGCAGACAAACATGCAAATTTATTTATTTTTAGCTACTTTCATGTTTCCTACCTTTTAGGGGCTTGAGGGTGGCTCTCCTGGGGGGCAGTGACTCTCTGATGCTGTTGAGAGTCAGAGGCTCCCACTTTGCACTACCCTTCTCTACTCCTTCCTCTTGCTTGATGTGTTAGCTGGGAGGAAGTGACCATCACTGACAGGGCCCCTGGGGACACAATGCCATTGGGTGTCCCTAAGTGCATGGGCCATCTGATGCCCCCCTCAGCCTTCAGACTCACCGCAAGCAATAATTTATTTTAGGATCGGCCCAGGACAGCTGCCCCGTTTGCCCTGCGTTAAAGACGGCCCTGTCTCTCCTTTAGCCATACCTCCAGTAGGGCCTGGTCTGTGGAGGGCAAGTCTTATTTAATTTTAAACTGCTTGAAAATGGTTTAACACTGAATGCAGGGACAGTGCCGGGGTACTCTAGGCACTTAATAATCAATTCAATGAGATGAATGGCTATAGTGCCTACTGTGTCCCTTTCAATGTACAATTTCCAACAAATCCCAGTCTAGTGAAAATCCTTGAAATACAATTATATCTATACATTGAGTTATTGAAATACGTAGCAAAACATTAGTTACATTACCTGAGGCCCAAGTCATGGTATAACGCAAAGCTTTATTATTCGGTATAAAACACTAACATATTGCACAGTGCCATTTTGTTTAAAAAAACATACTCTGACAAACGGTTGACAAATGTCCTGCACAAGCAAGCTTACAGTCTAAAAGAAGTTAGCTTCTACACAAAATGTAAAACTGCAATGCAAAAATATATTCTACGTGCATATTTAGGACATATTTGAAATCAAATAACCTATGCAACAGGTGCAGCCTCTTTCATTCACACTTTGGGAGCCAGTGATGCACTGCTGGCTGCATGGTACCTGTGTAATGGAAAGGTTAACTGGTGGCAGCTTTGAGAGGCAGTTGCCCAATGTATGCTTGATACATTAACGTTAGAAATAATTTAAAGGGATATAACTTTACATAGATAAAAAAAAAAGAAAACACTGTGATATAAATAGGGATGTGTGATCTCACATGGCGTCCATATAAATTACAGGATGTTCCCCTCGGAATTTGCAGACTGGTTCTTGAGCATCAGTTGACCAGTTGGTTCATGTTCTGTTTCTGTAAAATGTCTGTCTTCGGTTACTGAGTTGTCTTGTCTCTGGTGATACTACTTGTCTGTGCACTTCCCTGCTGGGACTGACTACTGACTAAGCATCTGTTATCTCTTTGCATTCAGTTACAGACTACTGACCTGCATGTCTCAGAATCTATTGCTCAGCCTCATTCCTGATACCTTACCACACGTACATGATGATTGTGTCTGAATGCTCCAGTAGTACATGGATTCTACCTGTCAATCAGTCTGACTGGGAAGATTAATTATTACCAACACTTCATGCACTGGAGGCTCCTCTAAGAACTCCTCTGTGTTGGGACCTTACTGGTTCACCATGTCATAAACTATTAGAAGATTTTTTATAGTGCAGAAGACTCACTTACAAAGAGCATATATATTTCCATTTTATCTCGAGGAAACATAAAATGTCTCAGAATTTCACAATTTATGTTAAACTGAAATATTCAGAATTTCATTCATACTAAATCTCGCGTATAGCAACACATTCAGAACTTCTACAACAACAACAAAAAAACATCAAGACGCAGTTCGCTGAGTATAGCTAATGTGGGATATTTTCTTTGTGCATTTTGCAATTCACTTGTCAATTCTACACAATTCTCAGTTTAGAGAAAAAAACCCTGGTTGAGTTTGATAAAGTGCTTTGTTCTTTAAGTTCTTCGCCTTTAATTATTCTCATTCCAGTGGGAAACAGCAGATCATCCTTCATGAGCTGGAAGCAAGACATCTTTTTGGGCATATTCTTCTTCAATGCTGTCTATCAGTGCCTCCTCCAAATCATTATACGTTATAGAAGTTGAACTTTCCACGAGGTTGGAGCACAAACCCTGATATCTGTAAACCAACAGAATACAAAGGTCAAAACTGGATGGTAAGTCCTAATGGAAGGTCATTGTTCAAGGATGTGAGACTTTCCTTCATATCACTATGTATTGTGCTAATCTGGTCTTGGTTCAAATGAGCCATCTGAAATTGGAGTGTTCCTTTATGAGCAAAGCAGAGTCAATGCATGCCTACCACCCATTTTTACTCATCCCATGTGCAGGGTGTTCCAGTTACTTTGGCCTGTTAACTGTTCCTCCTCACTTGGTTCTTCGATAAGGGTTTACTATACCAAATGGGAGATCAGCTAATTCTACACGCTCTATTGCAACAAACCACGAGGCCACACGATTCTGCAACACTCAAAATTATTGAAAAATATAGAATTACCCTAATTTTGTCAAATCTATTACATGGAAAAATTCGTATTCTAACCCCTTAAATGCTAAATATTTTTAGGAAGGGCAACATTTTCCCAAGATCCGAAGCAGGAAAGTCCTGAAAAAAAATAATATAATAGTTACTCGACTTCACATCGATTCTCAACTTTATCCCTTGAGCTCTCATGTTCTGTACATAGGCTTTATATAAATCAAAAGATTAGTGTATAGGCAGGGGAAATGATCAAAGGGGATAGTCACAAAACAAAAACAATAATGTTAGAAAGGGGGAACTACAGACTAAAAAAGAAGTAACAAAATGGAGGGAACAAAGCATATATTTGCAATTAGAGGAACAAAAGTGAAGGAACAACATGAAGAAAGGCTAGAGTTAGAAAGCGGGTTACAATTAAGAATGGGCAAAATTAGAGGGTGAACGAAAAAGCACACAAGGGTTTAAAGGTCCTAATCGGTGGATCAAAAAGAATGATCTGGTATAAGTTTATAAAGCAATAAGGAGAAAAAAAGTAAAAAACTGGGGAATAGAGAGGGTTAGAGGGGCAGTGTAAGCATTATAAGTTAGCGGCACTGTGTTCTCTTGTAGGAGGAATCACATGGTGCTGTCAGAAATGATATCACTCTTACCCAGAGAATAGAACCAGGAGAATGCCCCTTTAGGAGTTTAGTGATGGAATGTTCAAGATGCATAGAAGGTATTAGAAAAGGATATATGTGATGTACCAATAGCTAACCAAGAAAAGGCTAATTTCAACACAAGTTGTTACTTACTGATTGGGTAAATTGTTGTTTTTAATGTCCACACTGCTTTTTGGCATGTTAACCTTAAAAAAAAGAAATAAAACAGAAAGATTGAATAAACTTATGATAGGATAAACAATATCTTCAGACTCTACAATGCATTTCAGAGGACTGATCAAGCAAAAAAATGCATAACAGATATAGATTATTATTGGCATTTATAAAAGATCAACATATTCTGCAAAACTGTCGTATTATAATTGTAATTTTACGATATTTCCATAACTTTCAATACTGAGAAGTATGGGATTGGGACGCAGGTGGGGACAACTTGTGTCACTGGTAATGCTCATAATGGGCCGGCCTGCCCAGAAAAGCATTGCATCAAACATGCCAGGCTGACAGACAGACAGCCTCGCTCCCAGGACAAGACCATGCAGAGAGCGTTGCTGAAGAGATGCAACTCCAAAATGGCGGCTTTGGCATTGACGCACTGTTATAAGTCCAAGTGGTAATGTATGCTAGATTTTACCAAAGAGGTCGAGTGCTAAATCCTTTCTCCCTCTGATTAGACCACAGGAAAAGATGGCATCCAAGGGACTTTGAGTAAAAGGAAACAACCTCACTCCTCCAGATGTAGTTGTATAGTGAAATATAATATCAATATACTAAAAATGACACCAATCTGACTGATAAGAACTACGGTATACCAGTGTAGGTTTAGAGGTAAATGGGATAATTAAGGTATTATATTTGTAAGGCATTTAATGTTAACTTTAAAAGTAAAAACTTTGATATATTCTGAAGAATTAAATGAGTCATTTGAATAGGAATAATATAGAGGATAACATATACTTTCTTTAAAGAAACATGACAAGCACCGTAAACTCTGCAGCTCGCTGTAGTGGTTATGGTGCCAGGTGTGCCCTAGCGCCCTCCCAGGGTAAGTAGTCAAAATATGCACAAATGGTTTTACAACTTACCTGGAGTGCTGTGTCCACCTACCCCTGTGCCCCCCTGGAAGCCCCTACATTGAACTAAGCCTGGCCAACAACGAAGGATGGGACTTCAAGGGAATCCCCATCAGCTGTATGTCTCAAAAATTATATTTGTGTGTACTGCTAATCTCTAAAGCATTTTTCATTTCTATTTTTTTATTTTAGAATTGTTGGAGCACATTGAACCAATACATAGTTGCCAATGTGCCTGTTTTTGTCAGGACAGTCCCATTTCTTTTGGTTCATGACCACTTTAAGTTATTTGTACAGCATTTACAGTCTGCGATCACTACTACTACTTAATAACAATCAAAATTGTATCAGCCGGGCTGACTGCAGCATTATATAGTCTGATGTTTGTCATTGTGGGAACAGGAGGGGGCAGCGACCATGAGGATGTCAGTGACGAAGTTTGAGACAATGACACACACAATCACCGTCCTGTCTAACTTTGCACTTCGCTAAAGTGCTGTGATTACTATACTGGTCATTATTGAGCTTAACAAACAATCTTGTTTGGAGAAAAAGCCTCTTAGTACAATGTTGACTGTAAATCAGCTTGTTTATATTCCTTAATGTTGAAGAGTGCTACATAATGTTGCGATATAGTTGTTGTTTTGTGGATAAGCAGTGTGCTGTGTGGCATTGTGCTTCTCTGCGTGAGGCTGTGTTTATCTGTGTGTTTGCAGAAATTTGGATATCTGTGTTTCTGTGTGTTTGTGTCTGTGTGTACTTATTTGTCAGTGTGGCAGGGCGTATCTGTGTGCGCATATTTTTGTGTCTATGAGTGTATGTGTGTCAGGGGAGATACGTAAGAGATCAGGCAAACATAAATGAAACTACAGCACATTCAAAGAGGAAATGAGACATGCAGTAAGAGTCCCAAGTTACTTTTGTTGATGTCACTGTTGCTATGGATAAAGTAAATCTATATTCTAGGCAAAGAGACATTTTTAAACAGGGTTTTGGAAGACTTTATAGTGCATAAACTCTACAGGAGCCTTCTCTCCAACAAGTGCAAGAATAAAAGAAATATTTAGTTCCATTAAAGTAAGTTTGCTTTTCAGAGGTATATGTACAGCTCAGCAGGAGGTTAACAGCAGAGAGCAGAAAATGAGCGGACTGTCACAATCAATGAACGAGAAATGAAGTGTTACAAGGGCTACAGGAAGCAAAGCAAAGCAATGGTTTTTGAGGTCAGGCCAAACAATGAATGAAAAGAGGTCACAAATTAAACAGGGTCTTAAAATGTAAAAGACAGACTTGCCAGGTGGTTCTTTTGTGTCATCAAATGTAATACTCCCACATAGCCAGTGAAAAAACAAATATCTCAGAATATGGTATAAATCGTCAATAGAAAAATGAACGGGGAGTTTAACCCATTCAAAACAAATATTTTATGGTCCTCAGAGGACTAAAGGAGGAACAGTGTGTGTTTGTACAAGACGCCCTACACTTTAAAAGAGACACTGTAGGCACTAAAACCATTTTATCTCATTGAAGTAGTTATAGTGCCTGGAGTCCCCTGGTGTTGAAACATTTGAGACACTGGTTTAGGGTCCCTGGCCACCCACAGCACCGCCTCTACTGGAGGTGTGGCTAAGGCAAAGATTGCACAATTCCTTCTAAAAATAACAATTCGTATCAGTAATGTGAGCTGTGATAGGCTGAAAGTGGCCAGCTGACACTTTCAGCCAATCACAGCTGCCCTTTGCGACTCTGGCGAATGCTTCCTCATTTACCCAAGCAAGCACAGAGGGTTGGGCTGTTAGGACCCTCTAAAAACTATTTAACAGTGAATGTAAGGATGACGCCAGGGCTTCCAGACACTATAATCACTTCAGTGAGATGAAGCAGTTACAGTGCTTACAGTGTCCCTTTAAGAGCAAGATGTACTGTAACTCACATGATACCACAAGAGCATGGATGGACAACCTTTCATAAATTCTTAATATCTTTCTTAAACAGTGAAACGTATGATATTAAAAGCTATCCATATTTTATGGGGAGGGAGGATTTGCGCCATACCCTCCAGGTCCCTACACCCATGCCTCAATGAATTATCCATGACCCCATCTGTGGGGGCAGTGAGTGGCTCACTCGGTGGGAATGGCTTTCATTGTTAAGAGGGTGTCACTTGGGTAAGTCACTGAAGAAGGTGGCACGGTACTCACCAAACACAGCCAGACACACTCGATACATTTATTAGAATTTCTTGCTATTTAACCACAAGGTGATGCTGTAACTAAGCAGATATAAAGGCAAACACAGTGAATATTAGTCCTATCTAATTCAGAATAGAGAAACAGATTTTTTTCTATTTTGCATTTAAAGTGGTTTAGAGAAATCATTACTTTTTCTCAAAGGGCTCTAAAAAGATAATGTTTATTAATCTTCGCTGGTATAAATGCCAGTGATACAAAGATAATGCTGACATCTGAATTTCTGTTGGCAAGTGCTGGTGGGACGCTAGGCTTCTTGTATGTTAGCGAACCCATTGAACAATCTTTCCAGTGTTTGTGTAAAGGGGAAATCGAAGGCTTGGCCCACCCTGTACTACTATTTGTAACAGCCGTTACTACATAAACCTGTTTGGGCATTTAATTTCCTTTACTAAACATTTACTTTACAAAAGAAAGGAAACTAAGCATGTAACAGGAGTACACAAAGCGGGTATTTGGCACTGTAGAGTGTCCTTACAACCCGGGGTACGTGGAGACAGTGGAGACAATTTTCCAGGAGAGCAAAGGAAGATTAACAATAAGACAGCTGCCCAGGTCCTCACGGTTATTAGACATGGACACAAAAGCCAGGAAGAGTCTTGATAAAATTTGTTTAGATTCTTGGAAAATTCAAATTTATACATGAACATAATTAAATCACTGAATTCATATTTGAGACAAAGGTTCACATACCTGTCAAGAATCAACACCCCAACACGCAAGCCAGCGGACAACATGTATCCTGTACTATGAGAAAAACCTATTAACAGCCCTTAGAGTGGCCAGACTTAACGTACAGAACACACTTTGCAAGCAGACAAGACTATACGGGAACAGGCCAAGATCAAGGATTGGAGAACATTAGGAGAAGGAGCAAGCAGAGCCAAAGTCAAAGATTCCAGAGATCAGAGTAGTCGACTATTAAGGCAAAACCACAATTGCACACCACAAGACAAAACGTACTCTCGGGTAACTGAGACCATGACAGTGCAAAGCAAACTAAGTATGGCCTTATATATGCCCAGGTTGATTTCAATTTGCCTGCATTAAGAATTATGACAGAAAATACACCACCTGCCCTGTTAGAGCAATACAGATTGGTTATGTGTAAAAAATTTATGCAGGTCTGGGAGCAAAGGAGTGCAAACGAGAGCGCTCCATGTTATTATCAGTGCTAGAATGATACTCGGCGTCAGCACGCATAGAGTCCACATGTCAAAATTTACAAAACTGAGGGAGGGAGATCAAAGCACGCCTATGGTTCCCTTACATTTTTTTGTTCACTTGTTTCAGTTCATGTGTGTACTCATCGTTATGTATTTTTACTTTTTATTTATTACTATTAAAAGTTATGTTTTAGAATTTATCCTTAGCTTAGGGCAGTGTATTTTCGTTTTTGTTTATATGTGCATGAGCTCTCAGAAGACACAATACCTAACTTGCATTTCCGGATGATAAAAACATAGATGTAGAAAGAAGATTACAGGATAGATAAAGCTCCCTCTTAGTTTTCAATGAGAGAACTATTCAGGAACCATGGTCATATGTGACAAAAAACATCACCAGTAGTTTTATTACCTAAATAAAGAGTAAATTTATTTGTGTAAATTAATAGAAGCTGACGGGAGAAGTAGCTTACTTAATAATATTCTTTATAATATTAAATTAAATAATTAAACCGGAAATGCAGTACTTAGTTTATTCTAATGAACAAAACTATATGTGACAAGGTCTGTAAGGTTCTAAAGAACACTTTAACAGAGAGATATAAATATAAAATCACAGCTAGCATACTTTACATGCCAAAGCTAGACATAACATAGATTCAATTTTAAATCTAATTTGGTCTAAAGCCTCTAATGGCTGTCCGAATGAGGCATGGGAATATTTTCAACTGCGAGACTACATGGGCATCATTTCTCAAAATCTCTTTATTAAAATAAAGTGATTTTGATGCTTAAACTGTTCACTTAACAGGGTTTATACAATAACCATTCCTAGAAGGGAGCACATGGGATACGAAATAAATGACATACAGGAGCCATAGATGATGAAGGCCTTGTTACAAAAAAATCAAAGTTCTGCCAGTGGTTATGTCCCTAGGAAGGGATTTAAAGAACTCACCTTTCTTTCCCGCTCAGGGGAGGTGACGTTCTCCCTGAAGCCTGATCTTCCTCTTGTGACGTCACTCCTTCTTAGTGTAGGGTGGAGGGAGTCATTCAGGAGGACCACATGAGAGAAGGACTTGAGAGGCATGAGGGGGAGCCATACCATCATTGATCATACCCTGCATACTATGCACACTGATGACGCCTAATATACACAGAAGTAACATAGCCAGCCCAGAACTCTTGTTTGGACTGGCTCATGACACTGAAGGAGGTTGAGTTACACCTGTATAACTCTGTATGTGCAGAATTTCAGACTAAAATAGTGCACTGAGCATACAGACTCCAAGCACCATAACCACATCAATTCACTGAAGTGGTCATGAGGCTTGGGGTAACCCTTTAACCCCTTAAAGACCAAACTTCTGGAATAAAAGGGAATCATGACATGTCACACATGTCATGTATCCTTAAGGGGTTAAGGGAAACATATGCTAACTTCTAAAAATGGAGTAATCAGATTATTCAGTATAATTCAATTTAAAAGCATGTTGTTTGGTATTACATATTGCAAGAATCCGATCTTTTTTAGTCAACATCTTACAGGTGTATTTTTCCTATAATAGTTTATGACTACATCACAAAACCACACATCATTTTAGACAGACAGACATAGATATATAGGATACATAATGTCAAGCCAGTATTGCAGAAAATAATTCCATTCTGGAGACATAATAAACCACAGACTATTTAACCAATTTAAACAAATGTGCAATTTACCAAGCTTAGTACATGTTCAAACTTTAAAACTGCAGGTTTAATTTCTAACTGGATAAATAAATAGTTGGAGAACAACCATCACCCTTCAGGTAATGATACCATTTATCAATACACTGGGTAATAGTCACTAAATCTATAACATATCCATCGTACAGCGTAACGGAACTTGCTGGCGCTATATAAATAATAAAATAATAATGAAATAATAATAGCAAGGATATCAAATGTATATATAATGTGTACTCACTCCACCTTTAACTTACGGTTATGTTGCAGTTCTCTTTTAAGGCACAATGTTGATTTTGAAATTTATCAAACTCAAGAGATGATGTCTGGAGCTCTGACAGTTTATCTACTATGTTCAACATTTCGGGTTCACATATCACATCTCTCTGAGAATGCAAGCATGATTCCAAATTGGAATTGGCACTGGGAGACCAGGGTTTCAATGCATTCACTTTGTATGTGGAATCTTGCCAAGATAAGCAATCTTCAGACTCTGCCAATATCTCATCTAGTAGCCGTAAATCCGGATCTCTATAAATTGACTTGAGCTTGCTTCTTCCATTCAGATTGTCCTTGGTAGAGGCTTCTCCAGTATTTTCGACTTCACTATCTGTTCCCAAAGTGCAGGTAGTTGTAGTTCTTCCTTCATTTGTTTGTTCCCCTGGAAGTTTTGGGGGCTTCACGGGCTGCCCAATACTGGCCTGGATCAGTCGTTTCCTGTTCTTACTACTGCCGCTGCCCATAGCAGAAAAAAATAGAACATTGGCTTCTTGTTATCTTTTAAAAGTACCGAACGTTCTATGGCCTCATGCCTATGCACATGTTAGGTATATTTTTGTTACGCTGCAGTTCTTTAAAAAAAAAATTGCCCATTGTCGCCATGGGATTCTTGCAACTTATCAATGCTTCTTTTTTAAAACTATTCCAATTTTTATTCTTACACCTATAGCCATCACATTTCTAAATGTGAATTTTCAATGCCAGCTTTTGTGTTTAAAAGGAGTCTTATGAAATGCATTATATCTTGAAAATAAAAATGCTGCTCTTAGTCCACGGATGGAGAGATTTAATTTCCACCTCTCTTTTCCTTGCCTCTCTCGCTCTGTTTTTCTCTTTCTTTAGTCCTTCCTCCCAGCCACCAGCTTCTCACTGTTAAATATTAAAAGCAAACTAACAAAAAAAGAGAAAGAACCCTTTGCACTGAAGTTAGAGCCGCTGTAAAAAGTTAACTCATGCAGAGGAGTGTCATTCAGATTAGGGCCAATAAGCAGACCGAGAGAAAAAAAGCCTTAAAAATATAACAGTATGGAAAATATGAAACTTAGGAATCTGCACTAAAAAAGGACGGAAATTGGGTGTAACCTGTGGTTTTGCAAAAAAAAAAAAAAAAATAATGAAAAAAGTAGAACTGAAAAATAAAAGAGAGGGTAAAAAAAAAAAAAAAATTCTGTTCCAGGTTTACTCTTTTACTCTAAAAAAATATTAGCTATAGTACGATAGGGAATATATTTCTAAGTTATAGACTGTCATCGAGGGTTGTAGCACATTATGTAGAAGCTATACATCACAAGTCAGTTTGTAAAGTTAATATCTAACATAGGACTGGCAGGTTTTTCCATTGCTTTACAATGGACTTTTTGTCTTTTGTAAGAATGTATTAATTTTGGTATTTATCCAGATTTCAGGTTTGTAACAGATAGTAAAAAAACTAGATTATGAGTAATTACGTGCATATGTCCTTTGTCTTGATTTTGAAACAAACCTCTTGGATCCCATTTCTCTGGGCCATCTTGAGAAATATATTAATTTTGCAATAAACAAATGGGCTTGCACTATTTCATCTTGGAACAGTTAGTAATATCAATTGAGTTTTGTGTAGGTTTCGTGTTGCTGTTTATACAATTATTGAAATCAGTGTAGCACGACTGCTTCCTTGAATGGGATGGCTAAAAGAAGCCCGTATGATGCTCTTCAAATTGTAACTCCTGAGATGCCGAGACAACAATAGGGCTAGCTCAGCTTAAAGACAGCTGTACGTCAGCAAAAGCTATAAGCTTAAATGGGATGGAATAAATAATAAAAATAGACTGATTTTTCAGATGGAAGTAAGCAAAATAAATTGAAATCCTATACCAGAGTAGGCAAGGGAGGCAGATACTGGTTTAAAAGACTGGTCCACCTGGTGATCTTATCAAGAGCCAAACGTCACGACGGTCCATCATGGAAGACTCTTCACAAAAAGTCATGAAGTTTCATTAATGTTAAGGCCTGGTTGTTGGGAAAGCAGCACAAAGTGTTTGGCTGGTATTCATAAAACCACTCGTAAATTTGTTTTGCAATGTCTTTGGGGACAACTGGAAACAGACTTTTGTGGTTATTTACTATAGTGGGAATTCAAAGAAATTTTAGGGAAAAACAGTTTAACTGAAAACATATCTGACTTCGAGGATTTTACCAGTTTGGCTATTTTGTCCTACATTCCGAAAATAACTTTAAATTAACTTTGATTTCCGACATTTCACACTTCAGTGGACAAGCTTGCTTATGGTTTGCAACTATCATTTCATTCTAAATGCAATCTCCCCATTGAAGTAGAAAGAAATGAAACATGACTCATTAGAACGTATGATTTGGTTCCATTGATGAGATGTAAAAGTTTTATACTCCTTTTTGTGCATTTGTGCATTGTCATGTTTTTCCAATGGTTGATGACTTGTTGCCTTTCCCTCAATTCCATTTTATAGAAGATCATAAAATACAGTGTTTGTTGAGACTCGAGCATATTTGTACAGATTCTGTGTTAATTATAAAGGGATGCTATAGGTATCAAAATAACTTTAGCTCAATGAAGCAGTTTTGGTGTATAGATCATGCCCCTGCAGTCTCAATGCTCAAGTCTCTGCCATTTATGAGTTAATTCACTTGTGTTTCTGTTTATGCAGCCCTAGCCACACCTCTCCTGGCTATGACTCACACAGCCTGCATGATTTTTTTTTACATTTTCAGTCAGATGTTAATTTGCTTTTACCTCCTGCTCTGTAAGTTGAACTTTAATCACAAGCAAGAAGCTCCTGTAGGGTCTAGAAGGCTATTAACAGAGAATATAAGAATCTAAGAAATGCTAAATTAAATATAATCTACAATAAAGGAAGTGTAAACATTAGACGACTCTTTACAGGAAGTGTTTAGGAAGGCTGTGCAAGTCACATGCAGGGAGGTGTGGCTAAGGCTGCGTAAAGTGATGTAACTCCTACATGGCAGAGAGTTGAGCAGTGAGACTGCAGGGGCATGAGATATACACCAAAACTGCTTCATTAAGTTGAAGTAGTTTTAAAGCTATAGTGTTGTGTTGTGTATGAAGCCACTAATCTCTGACATGTCCGTGTATCCTTTTCAGGGAGCTTCAGCATGTTCCTCTTTGCAGATATAATTGGAACATTAAATCTGTGTTATGACTGATGCATCTTCAAACTGACTATGACACCACTGAGATATCTCTTGTTGCTTGCAGAACGCACATAGCAAAGTGCTATTTGTCTAAGCTATTTTATAGCTGACATATGCGGCCATCTGGCAATTTACATAGTATGACTCACATGTTCAGCAGCAAATAAAAATATAACTGCTATTTGGCAGGGTCAGCAGTGTAAAGACTGCCTTTTCTGATATAGTTACACTGCTCCAAAATGATACCTCCACTGGCAGTCACTCGGATAGCCACTGGAGGGACTTCCTGGGTTTGGAGGACTGATGTTCAGTATCTCCACACTCTGCATAGAGATGCTGAACAATCCCTGTAAAGATGCATTGATACCCTGGAGGTGCTGATTGACACGTGATGGTGATTTGTTGCTCAAGCACACTGGGCTCCCAATGCTTCCCTATGGGAAAGATTTGGATTGACTGAGATTATCAAGATTGATGATCTCAGCCGGGGAGGCGTAGTGGCCTATGCAAGACTTGCGCAGTAAAGGAGTAAAGGTCAGTAAAACTCTTTAACAAAAACAAAAAAGACAAACAGATAGACTGAGGTTACTGTGATGTGAGTTTAGTAATGGACAAAGGACTCAGAAGAATAAGTTGGTACAATTCAGTCTTAATAGAGCATATACATTGTATCACATAACAGAAACAATAGTTATTATGTCTTAATCTTACTGACAGTGCTTGCTAGTCTGCCCCCTCTCTTAACACCCCCACCCCTCTCCACATTTACTAACAGACTGTTTGACTTCCTCTCCCCCCCCCACTTTAAAATATTATACAAACCCATATGAACATATCTACGTAAACGCTAAGTCATAAACAATGAAATATAGACATGTAACATGTAACAGGATGGGCATATCTGGGTAACTCATTCTCAGAGGGCCCTGAATATAAATAGGTAGGCTAACATTATAGTGCTACGAATACATATTTGTATTTTTATGCCATATACTGTTCCTTTAAAGGGTTATTAATAGCACCATGACCACTTCAGTGATCTGAAATGGTCACGGTGCTTGGAGTCTGTATGTGTAGCATTTCATTATAAAACTCTGCACACACAGAGATTATTGCCTCTAATGATGAAGGTATAACTCCACCGCAGCTTCATTGGGAGTTACTTACCAGTCCAGAACAAGAGTTTTCCCACGTTCTATGCCTCCTCTGTGCTCCCTTCAGACAGCCCTTCTCGACCTCCTTCACCCTCTGGCGAGAGAGAATGACATCAGTGAAGGAGTATCGGGCTGAGGGGAAATAGAGTTAAAGTTTCATTTTGTTCTCTTTTTTTTTGTGTGGGGGTGGACCACAACAGAAAGGGTTACTCTGTACAAAACCAATGTTTTCTATTACTTAGTTCACTACACCCTGTGTTTAAAATAAAACTGTTAAAGAAACACTATAGCTCTAGGAATACAAATGTTTATGGTACCAGGTCCCTGCTGCTAGAGTTAAAGCGACACTATAGTCACCAAAACAACTCTAGCTTAATGAAGCAGTTATGGTGTATAGATCCTGAACCCGGCCCAAGCATTAAGCGCCACCTGATGGACCCTATATCTTCAGGTGCCCGGTGCAGCCGCAAAGTTGTGCTAAGAGGAACTGACGGCTGGTGGTCACTTTCTCCCAGCTCCCTCCGTGGGGGAGGGAAGAAAGACAGAGCCATGCTGACTCCCATCAGCCACAGCCACCCTCCTGCAAAAAAAAAGTAAGAACAATTACTATGTGTGTGTGTGTATGTTTGTCAGTATGTTTGTATGTATTTCAGTATGTATGTATGTCAGTATATATGTATGTATGTATGTCAGTATGTGTATCTGTATATATGTATGTATGTCAGTATGTGTTTGTATGTATGTCTGTCTGTGTGTATGTATGTCAGCATGTGTTTGTTTGTATGTATGTCTCTCTATCTGTATGTATGTCTGTGAGTGTGTGTGTGTATGTATGTCTGTGTGTATGTGTTTGTATGTATGTATGTATGTATGTATGTGTATGCATGTCTGTCTGTGTGTATGTATTTCAGTATGAATGTATGTATTTCAGTATGTATGTATGTCAGTATGTGTCTGTCTGTGTGTATGTATGTTTGTCTGTATGTATTTCAGTATGTATGTCAGTAAGTATATGTCTATCTGTCTATGTATGTCAGTATGTATGTATGTCAGTATGTATGTCAGTATGTAATGTGTGTGTGTATGTATGTCCTTATGCGTGTTTGTGTCTGTCTGTATGTATGTTAGTGTGTGTCTGTATATGTCTTAGTGTCTGTTTCAGTATGTATAGGAATTTGTTCAATTTTTTTTCAAACTATAGTCCGTCCCCCAACAGTGTCTGAGGGACAGTGAACTGGGCCGCTGTTTAAAAAGTTTGAGGATCCCTGGTTTAGAGTGCTATTTTCTTTTCTATGTAGTGTATCATTAACAATTTATTACATTGGATGTGGGCCCTTATTTCACTTTTCCAGTGGGTATCTACCCAGCTCCTACCAAAATACCTGCAGGTCGCGCTTAGCACTGAGCACTTAGAAAAAAATAAGCTATAAATGTGTATAAGAATAGACTGAGGGCAGGCAACAACTCATTGAGATACTGGACTGCCATGTATGTGGGAATAGTCTGATATGCAACCGTCAAGAGCTGCCTGGTGACTCACGGAAGGGCAAGCTCATAGAATATTTGTCCATTTTCAGTGTTCTCTTGATTTGGATTATTTACATATGATTTGCATATTCCTCCCCAACACAAATGGTGCTCTAGTGCAGTGTTTCCCAACCCAGTCCTCAAGGCACACCTACCAGTCCAGGATTTAGGGATTACCCAGTTGTGTCTAAGGTGTTTTTACAAAGAAGAAAAAAAACACCTTAGACACAACTGGGTAAT